CTAGCCTAACCTCGGCGAAGTAGTGACGAGGCTAGGACAAGATTACCAAATAAACCTATGTATTTATATGATATACATCAAATAATAATAACAGAAACTGGCAGTTAAAGATTGGAAGGGAAACATGTTGTGGGGAATATCAACTACAATAGAATTTCAGTAAAAAAACATAAGAAACACCAAAATTCAACTGTAAGCAAGAATAAAGAGAAACAATATCAAGTGCACGGCATCACCCTTCGTGCTTTTACTCTTGTTCTCACCATAAGAATCAATATAATCGGCACGGCATTACCCTTCGTGCTTGTACCTCACATAATCATGGCACGAAATTATCCTTCGTGCATTATCACTCATATCATGACACAACATCACCCTTCGTGCTTTTACCTCACAATATCGGCACGGCATCAACCTTCGTGCATTAATACTCTCAAAATAACGCACGACATCACCCTTCGTGCTTTACACTCTTCCTCACCCAAGCAACAATCACAAAGCAATTTGGGCAAAGAAATCAATAATATCACAATAGAATCCTAGAAAGGGAACAATAGTATATCAATAAAATTTCGGCAAGGGAAACAATATCATGAGAAATAACATCCCGGTAAGGGAGATAATATCAAAAGTAATAACATTCCGGCAAGGGAGACAATATCATAAACCTGTTCTCTTTTCTACAACTACTTCACAACTCAAATCTCAACTTGAGCCAATGCTCTACAATGTTCAATTACCAAGAATACTTCCATAAACTTTGTTCAACATTAGAAATCATCATATTAAGCATGAACAATACAAATGGATCACATCAATCATAATATAAGACTCACGGGCATGCTTGAAACTAATGTATAGATACTCGTCACCACACCTATACGTCATACTCATCAATTAACACATAGCAAATAAGACACAACTCATAATTCCTCAAGCTAAGGTTAGACCAAACACTTACCTCAATGCCACAAACACAATTCAAGCCTCAACTACCACTTTACCTCTTGTTTCCACAACCAATTCGCTTGTATCTAGCCATAATTTACTTACTGATATCAAGAAATGCTAAATGAATCAATTCTAATGCATGAAAATAGGTTTTCTAATGATTCCCCAAAAAGTCAAAAATCGACCCCGGGCCCACATGGTCAAAACCCGAGGTTCGAACCAAAACCCGATTACCCATTAACCCAGGAACTCAGATATATAATTTATTTTGAAATAGGACCTTAAATCGAGGTCCAAATCCCCAAAATTTAAAATCTTAAGTTCTACCCAAAATTACCCAATTTCCCATGAAAAACCCTTGATTTTAAATTGAAATCATGTAAAAAGATGTTATATATTGAAGAAAGTGAGTTATAAATGACTTACAATTGATTTGGAGAAAACGTTTCTTTGAAAAATCGCCCAAGAGAGCTTAGGGTTTGAGAGAGTTTGAAAAATGAAGAAATTTCGGCTAAGTCCCAATTAACTGGTTGCAGATGTCACAATTGCGAAGCTTGCAAATGCGACCAAGGCCTTGCATTTGCGAACCTGGGCATTTTTCTGCTAACCTCGCAATTGCGAACAAGTTGTCGCAACTGCGATACTGGCCCTACCCTGATAACTTCGCATTTGCGAAGGGTTGTTCGCAATTGCGAACACTGGCAGGCTGGGCTTTCTTCACAAATGTGATCAAGTCCTCGCAATTTTTGCAAGCCTGTTGGGCTCGCAATTGCGAAGCCTGACCTCGCAATTGCGAAATCAGAGCCTGCAACACCACTGAATCTACAACAACCATTTCTCTAAGTCCAAATGCACTCCGTGACCTATCCAAAACTCACCCGAGCTCTCGGAGCTCCAAACCAAACATGGACGCAAGTCCAAAAACATCATACGGACTTGCTCGTGCGATCAAATCATCAAAATAACATCAACAACTATGAATTAAACCTCGAATTTATGAAATCACTCAAGAACATCAAAATTACTATTTTCTCAACTATAGGTCCGTTTTATACCAAATTAATTTCGATCTTTACCAAATTTCACAGATTCGACTTAAGCATTATTTTAAACTTGTATCGGGCTCCAGAACCAAGATACGGGTCTAATACCTTCAAGAAATGCATCAATTCACCTCTAAAAACCTTTATATCTACTAGCAAATAATTTTCTTTAAAAATTTATTTCTCGGGCTTGGGACCTCGAAATTCGATATCGGGCATACGCCCAAGTCCCATATTTTACTATGGAGCCTACGAGACCGTCGGATCACGGGTCTGGGTCCATTTACCAAGAATGTTGACCAAAGCCAACTTTATTCAATTTTAAAAGTCAATTTTCTTATTTTACTTAGTTTTTACATAAAAGTTTTTCGGAAACGTGCCCGGACTGTGCACGCAAATCGAGGTGAGACAAAAGAAGTTTTTAAGACCTCGGAACTCAAAATTTACTTTCAAAACGAGTGATGACAAAAGGTCATCACATATTATTATTATTATTATTAATTTTATTTTAATATCATTCTTATCGTCTTTTGTGAAAAGCGTATCAATTTCCTTCATATAATCACATATTAGTATTTATTTTAATTTTATACTTTACAATATTTATTCTTTATTTCACAATTAACGTAATAGTTATGTTAGCAAATTAGATGCTAGAAAATCTTATATTTCGATAAGCCGCATCGAATTAATTAATTAATTATTTAATATTAATATATGCTAATGTGATTAATTAAGAGATCTAATAAGAATTAGAATCCCAAAGAAAGGCTTAAGAAGGAAGTGGGTGGTCCAATATCTAGTCACCTAATATTCAATACAATCTCTAGCCCCCAAGAATTGGGCCAGTTCGGCCATGCTTATGCCCCCTAACCCGCTTGAACCTCAGCCCAATCGGTCCAACACCCCTTCAAATATTATAGAGAAAAACTACCCTCTATAGCCCCTCAAAATTTTAATAGCCCATATTTTGTCTTACTTAAAAAAAATGGCCCTTCAGCCCAAATGTATTGCATATAATGGCCGAAAGGAATAAGCATGACAACACAAGCGCCTGTAGTTTAGTGGATAGAGTGCATGTTTCCTAAACTGAAGGTCGCAGGTTCGACCCCTACCTGGCGTGATAGAGCAACTCTTTTTTGCCTTTTTAAATGTACTTCTGGATCTGATAAGTATTAGCTAACAATTGAATGAAATATGTAATGCAGGTCATATACGAAATATCTATTTTTGTATATTTTTTGTATAATAACAGTCTATTTTTGTATATTTTTTTGTATAATAACAGACTATTTTTGTATGACAGTCTATTTTGTATATAATAACAGTCTATTTTTGTATATTTTTTTGTATAATAACAGACTATTTTTGTATGACAGTCTATTTTGTATATTTTTTGTATAGTAAATCTATTTGTATAGTGACAGTCTATTTTGTATATTTTTTGTATTGTAACAATATATTTTGTATAGTGACAGTCTATTTTGTATATCTTTTGTATAGTAACAGTCTATTTTGTATAGTGACAGTCTATTTTGTATATTTTTTGTATTGTAACAATATATTTTGTATAGTGACAGTCTATTTTGTATATCTTTTGTATAGTAACAGTCTATTTTGTATAGTGACAGTCTATTTTGTATATTTTTTATATAGTAACAGTCTATTTGTATAGTGAGAGCTAATTGTATATAAATTGTATAGTGGCAGTCTATTTAGTATATTTTTATATAGTGATAGGTCTATTTTGTATATTTTTTGTATAGTAATAGTCTATTTGTATAGTGAGAGCTAATTGTATATAAATTGTATGGTGACAGTCTATTTAGTATATTTTTATATAGTGATAGTCTATTTTGTACATATTTTGTATAATGACAGTTTATTTAGTATATTTTTTGTATAATGATATTCTATTGTTGTATATATTTTGTATAGTGACACTCTATTTGTTTATAAATTGTATAGTGACAGTCTATTTGTATATAAATTGAATAGTGACAGTCTATTTTGTATAATTATTATATAATACCAGTCTATTTTGTAGATATTTCAACTTTTTCATAGTCATCTCCTTTGTTCTTCCTCTCATTGAGAAACCAACCACCGACGTCCATGGCCTCACAGTTACCGAAAATGGTAACAAGATCGTCGGAGTTTTAAATTTTTAGCTAAAGATCTTCAAAATATTATCTACATATTTACAGAAACTATAAGAGAAAATCAGAGAAAGAAGACAAGGATGTCTCTCTCGTTGCCTACACACTGCTCCTCTCACTTTTCTCTTCTTCCCTATAGGTTGCTGCTACTGAAATATGTTGATGTACATGAACATTTGCAAGAAATATGTCACGAAGAATACTTAAAGCTCGGGCTCCCTTCTCAACTGGACCAGCAGAATATGAAGACATTTTCAGCATCTTATCACTCTCGAAGAACTCCAATGCCTGATGTTGCGTATACACCTTGAGATTTGCACACTCCTCGATTGATGGCAAAAGCAGAGCACTAAATCGAGAATCTCTTCCTATCATTTGCACAACCTCTTGATCGCTCTCCATACCCATGGCCTTCGTGACAATCATGACGGGGATCCTGGTTTTGAACATATTCAACTCCAAGTACACCTTTTCTTTCTCCATTTTTACAATTGTTTTGCTTTTTGTTTTTTCTGTGCTGCTGGTAACAGATGCTTGCACACACCCCTTTTTCTTTTCTTTTGATGTTGATTTAATTGGTAAAAGTCCAGATCTTCTTAGATCTAGCCGGTTCTAGGATTTTCCAGTGTTTTGCTGTTGTTTTAACGGGTAAAAGTCCAGATCTTCTTAGATCTAGGATTTTACGGCGAGGGAATTCGATCAGTGACCGGCTAGCATTTGTCATTATTTTTAGGCTATGACTTGTATGGGTCAATTTGTGGGCTACCGGATGATATTTGTTTTGCCCGATGGGCTATAAATGAAGTTCTCTCAATATTATACTCCCTAATTTCTAACCTAGTAAGAAAGCACAACAGCGCCTCTTTCCACCTTCCTCTGTCACCTTCTTTATTTTCAAAAACCTCCGAGCTTTGACATCTTTCAATCAAAAGATGCTGCACCATTTTGGTGCAAATAACGTCTCTTTCTTTCCTCTTCCACATTTGTGCTTGGTGACCCGTGAATCTTTAAGGTCTCAGTCAAAATCATGACATTTCGGACAAGAAGTTGAACCAATTCACGTGAGCACCCAGCTCGTCTCAATGTTCGGATTCAAACGGGCTATGACTCGATTTTGAATCCCTAATTTTGAAATCCTGCTCAAAAACTCGAACCCTAGCTCTACATCTCTTATAAATACTTGCATTTGGGAGAGTTTAGAATAGGAAGGGGCCGCCACCTCTATTTCCCTTCCAATAGGCTTCAGTCGCCCTCTTTACTGAAATTTATTGTTTACTGCTGTTTCTAACTTCAATTTATTGTTCTTGCTCACTCCTCATCTCTCAATAATAAGTTTAGAAATACAAGTCCTAAATCACGTTCTATTTATTTCCTCATCCTTGAGGATCTCTGTCGTCTTTCTTCTTGGTCGTAGCAGATATTCTCTTACTGTTCTGGTCGAATCATTTATTCGTAAAAGAGGCTTGAGTCGGAGATTCGAATAGCCATTGCAAAACGCCCTAGTTTACTGCCCGCAAAAAGGTCCGTAGCTTTAAAATTTTCTTCTCCCTGATTTTATTTATTTACTAGTGAACTTGCCGCTCTTCGGGAGGAAAAACCTCTTTATAGAATAATATTTTAATATTAATATTTGAATATTAAAAATAATAGAAGTAGGTTACATATACCTTATTGTTTACCTTTTTGTTCTTTTATATCATGTTGGGTTTCACAAAAGAACGGAGAAAGATAAATGAGCTATTCATAATTTACTCTTTTAGTTGCTTGATACGGATACATATTTTTTCATCTTTATATTTTGATGGGATATAGTAAATTAAAGTGAATAGGTATTTCTTTTCTATCCATGGAATATAGACATGTTATTATGACATACATGTAAAACTCACAAATATATACAAATTTTTGTGGGGGAAATACCACTGCATGTCTACCGTCTGCCGTTATCGCAATTACTTCAAATCGCGATAATTTTTTGTTCGTTTGAGATCTCTCCTCGTGTATAAATTAACAACGAGAAATCTTTTACATAGCATATATAAATTTAATTATCATCTTAAAAGTGAAAGCAAAAACTTAAAATATAGTAGTATTAATTTAATCTAAATTTAACATTTCCTTCATTTTACTATCAGAAAGAAGTTACGACTTATTTCCTTCTATTCTGCCAAAGCAAATTCNTATTTCCTTCTATTCTAACTTTGCACAAAGTCTATACCTTATCTGTCCAGAACTTTGAAATTAAAACCACATCTCATCATCTTATTCAAGAAAGTCCACCTGACACCTCTATGATTTCAACCTATATAACTTCTGAATAATATCACCCTCTTTTGATCCCCTTTAATTCATCTAATTTCGTTTTGACAAAGTATTTCTCAATAGTCTGTCTAGGTTTCTACACTATCTTGGGCAAAAGTTACATTAACTTGCAAATTAATGAGTCAAAGATTAGGAAACCCATAACTCATAAGCATTACATTTGCATGGCCGGAAACTCCAGGAATTATAGAATCACAGAAAGAAAAGAAGAAGAGAGAATAACCTTATAATATATATATATATATATATATATATGAAGCTTCAACTGTACCATTAGTTTCTTCTCTGCCAAAACTTCCTCACTGATAGTTGACTTCCTCTACTCCGCTAGTTTTTTATCTTTTGTAAAGTAAATGATCGGCTCACCAAAAAAAATCAATTTGATGAGAAAAATAGATAATTATACCCTTAAGAGAGTCTTTGTCTCAAGAATTGTGCATTCATCACAAGATAATAACCTCCGTCAGAAGAAAAGGTGGAAAGGTCGAAAGGTTAAAACTAATTTCTTTTTTTTCCTTATTTATTATGCAGAATGTTACAGACAAATTTTTGAGGAGTGGAAGGTTGCAATGGTTCGGGTAAAAAGAAAAGGGTATAACGGTTAAAATTTGAAAGTAATGGTTTTCGTTTTCGTATTTCTGGAATTTAATAATGGATTACTGTACTGAATTGAGTGAGAAAAAAATCTAAAAATTGACAAAATAGATAAATTCATTTCCTTGTCTATGAGATATGCCACGTCATCTCTTAAGGTCCCTCAATTATAGATATATATAGATTTATTTTAAGTTTCATAATAAATGCTTGCTGAAGAATGTGACGCTTTCAATGTAGAAATCTTACTTTAGGGAATTGTTTGGTTGAGAAACCTTGATTTGTGACTCGTTATGTATTCTGGCATATAGAGTTTGATAAGAATGACATGTGTTTGACTAAGCCCTCGTATGAATTTGTCTATGAAATTTGTTGATAGCACATCCTGATCATTAAATCTTTAATATGCTGTTTTCAGTTATTTTAAGAATCATGTTTGCAGGCCATGAACTTTTATGGATTAGCCACTATTTACTTAAATGTCATTAGAAGAAGTACTCTAAAAATTATTGTTTTTCTAGATTTGATATTTAAATCATATGACACTTTCTTTTGTTTAAGAAAACTACGGATGAACTCTCATGTGTTGCTTTTACCATTAGATATCATGCTTAGGATTTCTTTTTGTGTGTTTTAGAGAAACTGATTATAAGAAGCTTAAGTTTGACGGTATGGACTTGAAGTATTTCTAGTGCCATATTAATTAAAATGCAGACTTCTTCTTTCTTTTACTATCACCAACAGTGTATGCCTTTGGATATCCGATTTCTTAGCAATTATGTTTTATTTTAGGAGGTTGCTGTCAAAATCTTGTACGAGTCAAACTAGATATTTCAGAAGATAATCGCATTTATGTATTAATAAGTTGTTCCTTTGGTTGTAAAAGCTATTCTATAACAAATGCTTTCTCCATGTCTTGTATACTGTATTACCAACTTGGATAGATGTTCACAAATTATCTAGGATAGTTAAGGCCTGTTTAAACAAGTAAGAATATCCTGCCATAGTTAAATACATGTATATGTAAACCTTTAAATATGTCCTCAAGCATTTTTACCTCATTTAGTAATTCATTCACTGCCTAGAATTCATGCCGATAGGTTTAAATAATTCTCACTTAACTCAAACTAAAACTTTTTGAGTTAGGACTTTAGTAATTAGTGCATTGTGCTAGAAAAACTTTTGACCTTACTGTTTCTATGAGCTAAGTGATAATACATTTGGTTGTTTCATGTGCAGTGAGGTATTGAACTTCTTTTTCTAATTTTCTGCTTTCCTTTCTTTTGCATATGCACATGGAGCAAACCATGGAGTCTTAATGCAAGAGTCGCCCATACCCAAGCATGGAGTCATCACGTCCCATATTCCTATTGATGCATTGGATATAACATATATAATTATGCATGCTATATCATTAAATGTTATTATTAGCTGCTGTCCTTTATATCTCTTCTTGCTCTTTTCGATTGATATCAAAGGGGGAGAAGAAAAAGAATATAAAGACAGGGGGAGCGTGCAAACAAGAGCACAAAGACAGGGGAAGAAGAAGTCCACAACTTGAAATAGAAGTGTCCCCTAAATTAGTCAAACTCTTTCTAGTTTATTGTCATCATCAAAAAGAGGAAGATTGTTAGGTTTAGAATTTTAATAATAATTAATAACAAAAATCAATGACTAATGCAATTCTACTTTGTGTGTAGATTCGCAAGAACGCAACGGCTCTAAAGAACACAAGGAAAGAAAGAAAATCATCTAAGCACATCAAAGGGAGCCAACAACTATGATATTCAAACTCTATTAGTATACCTGGAAGAAAAGAGAATCAATCAAGCAAGCAAGAGATTCTCAAGCATACAAGGGAGGAAAGAGAATCAATCAAACAAGCAAAGGACTCTCGAGCATACAAGGAACGAAAGAGAATCAATTAAGAAAATCAGCGAAAGTATTTAAGAGAAGTTAATTGGATAGATGAAGGAGCGAAACTACAAACTAAGAATGAATCTGGTTATACGACACAAGCTAGATTCATGAGGCTACCCTTGGTTCCTACGGTTAGAAGATTATTCTTCACAAGGAAAAGTCCTACAATCCATGATCTTCCACAATCTTAGAAAAAGAGGAATTAGAAGCTTCATCGAGTATTGAGGTTTTAAGTATATTAAATGCTTAAAAGAGGGTGAATGGGAAATGGAGGAAAATGAAATTTTAAGCTCCCTCCTGATGAAGGAACATTGTCCTATATTGGAAGAGGAAAATGTTTTTAATGGTTTATAAGCAATTGCTCTTCTTCTAGCTCTTAAAGAATTGAGAAGAAGGCAAACCTCGCGCCGTCATCGCTCGCTTGGCTTCGGCTTCAGATTGGGATTGGAATTGGGATTTGATTTGGATTTGGTCAAATGATCGATTGATTGATTAATTTTTTGGACCAAATTTGTTTGTTAATAGTAAATATTAACAGAAATGTTATTAAATATTCGTTTTAATAATAAAATATTAATATTAAATCAAAGAATATTAATATTAAAATCCAATCGTTTCCAATTTTCCGTTTTTTGTTTTTGTAACAGAAAATTAACTGCCCTCTTCAATTTTACATCTTTATTTTCCCTCTTTGTTGTTGAGTATATGTTATGACATTTATGCTATGGCCGTTTTGCATAAAAAATCATTCTGAAGAGTTGTACCTCTTCAGATTTCAGCCCAACTTTGGCTATAAATACAAGTCTATTCTCTCATAATTTCCATACGAATTTATGAGTTCTCCACCTTTCTTTCGCATATTTTTAACTTCAAAAAAAGAAATAGTAAGTGTGATTTGCTACCGAACTTTGTGTTCGCTGAAACACTAATTGTGACAAAATATGTTGACGACAAAATCGGAGTAGGGAAAAATCCATTTGATGTTCTTGTGAAATATCGTACCTTGCTCTCTTAGAACTGCAAATCTCGTTGCTATTACACAGTATATATGATACATCGTGTGAAATTTTGAAGTTGCAATAACAGATCTGTATGAATCATTCGTAGAAAATGAATGAATGAATTTGAAGTTGCAATAGTCAGATCCGTATGAATCATTCTTAGAAAATGAATGAATGAATTTGAAGTTGCAATAGCAGATCCGTATGAATCATTCGTAGAAAATGAATGAATGAATTTGAAGTTGCAATAGTCAGATCCGTATGAATCATTCTTAGAAAATGGATGAATGAGTTTGAAGTTGCAATAGCAGATCCGTATGATTCATTCTTAGAAAATGAGTGAATGAATCTTAGAAAAGTCCATTTTATAGTAGTGTGGACCCCATTTAGTAAAGGCCTACTTTAGTCACTCAAATACCTCTTAAAATGCCACCTTTTATGTGACTTTATGAGTCACTTAATTGGTCCTTGTATGGCTTCCATGGGGGGTGGGGTTTAATCTTATCCAAATATATCTCCAATTAATTAGATAATGTCCCGTTACTCGGTAATTAATCAATTACCCGTAAAATTGAGAATTATTCCCGCTTACTTAAAATATTACACACTTTCACATACCTTATACACCTTACTATAATGGTCATGTGGTACCTTGTATGGTACTAGTCTATAAATATCGAGTATTTTAGCTCGGGCCGTATTTTACCCCAAAATGCCAAACTTGGACAAAATTTATTTTCTTTGACTTGCTCCCCCTTTCACCTTCATGAATTTACTAATCACTTGTGAAATAGCATAATCTTTATAATCTCCAAATAATCTTTTAGTTGACTAATGTCAGTTACCTTATGACAAATTCAACATACAACACTACAGGGTGCAACATCGTCATAATGTAATACTGTGGGACGTGACATCTCACTTCCGGACTCTCATTAATTTATGGCGTATTTTCATGTACTAAAATATGGGGTGTAACAGTCTCCTCCACATTTTCATCAATGCCTATCCTCACTTCTTCATTCACTAGAACCTCATTGCTTGACTCATCATCATCTTGCATCACCACGTCATCATTCATAATCTTTCTTAAGTTTGAGGTACTAGCATCTCCACCTCTCCCATTTCTCGTAGTCACCACCATAGCAAGCCCCGTATTGTTCCCACCTTTTGGGTTTACTACCGTATCACTTGGTAGTGTCCCCTTAGGGAGAATATTCAAAGCTTGAGAAATTTGGCCATGTTGGACTTCCAAGTTGCGGATAGAAGTGTTGTGGGAGGCTAATTGGGCATCGGAGTCGGCATTTTTCTTCATCATTTGCTCGAACATGGTTTCAATCCGTCCCATCTCATTGTTGGAAGAACTAGGACCTTGTGACGGATATGGAGGCGGGTTGTTGGGTTGTTGATACATCGGGGGCCTTGAAAGCCCGACCCCCGATTCTCTTGATCATTGTTATTCTAACCCCCTTGATTGTTATTGCGTCCCCAATTACTATTATTGTTTCTACCCCAGTTGCCTTGATTTCCTTGATTACCCTAATTTTGATTGTTGTTGTTCCCCCAATTTCCTTGGTTGTTGTTGTTGCCACTATTCTAATTTCCTCGTTGACCTTGATTGCCCCAATTTCCTTAGTTTCCCTGTTATCTCCATTGTTGTTGATTTGGAGCATTGCCCCATTGACCTTGATAATTGTTGACATATTGAACCTCTTCACTTTGATCATCATATGAATCATCTTGATTGTACCCATTACCACTTTACTCAAATTGGTCCGGATTATTTTGAACTTGTTGACCTCGTTGCCTTCTTTTGTTGATCATCATATTCACTCCTTCCATGGTATTCACTTGTTTTGACCCTTGAACTTGTTGACGCTGAGCTTTGGCCAATTGGTTCATGGTAGTTGTCAACTCAGCTATAGCTTGCTCGTGATCATGTATCTCCTTATGTAGGTGAATAACATTAGGGTCACCTTGTGGCACATTGGCTCTACTTTGCCATGCCGAAGAGGCCTCCCCCATCTCATCAAGTATTTCACAAGCTTCGGCATATGGTGTGTTCATGAAGTTACCCCTGGCGAGTTGGTTAACCACACATTGGTTTTTTATGTTGATCCCTGTAGAAGGTCTGTTGGATCATGGCCTTAGTCATATCGTTGTTTGGGCACTCTTTTACCATCGTCCGGTACCTCTCCCAAATCTCATGTAACTGTTCATTTGGCTCTTGTTTAAAATCAAGGGTCTCATCTCTTAGTGTTGCCATATGTCTCGGAGAAAAGAACTTTGCGATGAACTTCTCGTCCAACTCATCCCAAGTGGTGATGGAATGGTTGGGCAACCTCTCTAGCCAGTCCAAAGCCTTCCCTCTTAGAGAAATGGGAAAAGCCTTAACCTCAATCCGTCCTCAGAGACATTAGTTTGCTTGCTCCCCTAGCACGTGCCAACAAAACCTTTGAGATGCTTATAAGCGTTTTGGTGTGGAGCTCCGGTGAAGAAACTCCTCTGTTCCAATAGTGTAAGCATGACATTGGTTATTTAAAAGTTTCTCGCCCTAATCCGGGGCAGGATTATTGCACTCGCATAGCCTTCATTTGGTAACACCCTATGCGTTGCCCTTGGAGGAGGGGGAGGGTTTGGGATGTTGTCATTAGGCGGGCGGCCTCTCTTTGTACTTGAGGTCCTGGTTGAATCTCATTCACGTGATCATCATCTACCTCATCCCCCAATGGAAAATTTCCGAGGGCTTCGCTTTTAAGAGCCATTTGGTACCTAAAAGCAATTCACACACAAAATTAGAAAAATGGAAGGAAATAAAAACAAAACACACAAATACTTAGGTATATAACTAAGACCGTCAAACTCCCAGCAACGGTGCCAAAAATTGATCGAGTCCAAGCCTACACTACTATTGAGTAGAAAGGATGGTCAATGCAGTTTTAACCCAACTAGGTCGGGATCGAATCCACAAGGAGTTAATAATTGGAATTAGGTTTATATCTTAGCTAGATGCGGGCTTCGAGTCTAATTACACTTCCACAAGTTATGGGTTTGATTTCTACTTCTAACTAAGATTGCAATAATTGAAACTAAGGACAATATTTTTGTTGACGTTTTTCAGGTGTTTAAAGAGACTAGGGTCGTGACTTCTGCCTAGGTGGATATCCAACAGGTATCAAGAATCTAGGTCAATCTTGATTAGTTGGGGTCGTAATATAGCTATCACACTCGGGTACTCAATCAATACCTCTCAATAGTTTGAGTGATTTTTCCCAATTTGGCTTTCTCAAGTCGAAATGGGTATTCATGCAATTCAAGTGATATTAGCTCAAGTCGGGTATTACTATCTCTAGGTTTAACCCTTTAATTGGGGCTATCAATTTCTCGAGTTCACCCCAATTCCTTGTTAACCTAGTTTTCCTAGACTTAGTCCATCTTTCTCAAGTGGAGACTAAGTCATAAAGGCATGAATCAATGTTTGCAACAATTAATTCTATAGTTCTAGCAAGAACTAGTCTAAATATCACTAACCCATTCACATTCAAGCCCTGAAATCAAATACCCATCAAATACCCATACTAGGGTTGGGTCACAACCCTAGCTATGGGTTTAGCTACTCATGGAAATTAACAGAAATTAAAGATGAAATAAAGATAATATTCATAATACTAGATTAAAGGATGAAAATCTAATGTTAAAAGATGAATCTAGCTACAAAATTTCCAAAAGTAGTAAACTCAGACATCTCAGATGCTCTTCTAATACATACCATAACCTAAAAATGACAAAAAGTTCTATTTATACTAAGCTGAAATTTTCGGAAAAAAATACCCCTGCAGAGGTTGTGCGATCGCGTAATTCTGAGCGCGGCAACATAATTGTAATCGCGGTCCACATTCTTAAAAACTGGATCTGGGTTGAGTTGAGTTTTGCGAACCACATAATTTCAATCGCGACCGCATAAGGGACTTCTACGGCCGCACAATTCTGACGCATATTGCACTTCTTTCTTTTGCTCTAGTTGTGAGCTCTCTGAACTCCATGCATCGCGGTTCACATAATTTCCATCACGGCCGCATATTTCTGCTGTGGTCCGCGCTTATCATTTAGCCTGAAAAAGCAACTCTCTGAACCTCCCTTTTACGGATCGCGTATTTTTGATCGCGGCCGCGTTGTGGCTTTTGCGGCTGCACAATATTTGTGCAATCCGTGTTTCAGATTTCTTGGCTCAGTCTTGATTTTTGTTCAAGTTTTGACTCCTTTATGAGCTGATTATGACTCATTTGGCTCATTTTGAACAATTCGTGCAAACAGGCATATTACATTAGTTTTGGGGAATACCTTCATGTATTTTTGGCCCAAAACACCAGTAAAAGAGAGCAAATAATAGGTTAAAATCCCTACTTATCACAAGTGAGAAAGGCCTGGGCAAAACATATAAATATGAGACTTCGATATTTTTCACCATTTTCATCATTTTGAGCTCGGACTTTGGAGGCTTTTGAGA